CCCCCCACCCCCACCCCTCGCCTGCCCTCCAGCCCTCAGTGGATTGGGGGCCAGCAGAAGCCTGGACTTTGGTCTCCTTTCCTCCCAGTCCATTGAAGGCTCCATGGTGACCCTGAGCCAAGGCGATTGGATGGGGCTCCCGGACCTGCAGGTCAAGGACTGGATGTGCAGGAAGCGAAGGTGAGGCTGCCCTGGAAAGCCCCAGATGGGCAGGGAAGACCTGGGCCCGACCCGACATTGAACTGTGAGCCAAAGGGCTTCGGGGCTCATCTAGCCCGCCCTTCCTCTTACTCCAGGGGGGGAAGCTGAGGCTCGGCTGGGGAAAGGACTTGCCCAGGACCACACGGGGAGTGAACAGCAGAGCTGCGGTCACCTAGGACTCCCTGTCCAGTGCGCCTGCCGCACGACCTCGACCTGGCCTCCTTGTAGCATCCCAGGCTCTAAGGAGAGGGTGACAGCTGGCCCCTGCCCGCCACGCCCTGCCCCGGAGCCTCCGGCCCAGGCTCCCAGCCCTCTGGCCTCCCAGGATTCTGAGCCTGGCCTGGAACAGTCTCTTTTTGTCTAGGTCAGCTAATAGGATGCACTTTTTAAAAAAAATGTTTCTGCATTAGAAACATAACCATACTACAGAAAACTGAAAACTGAGAAAAGGAAAACAACTGACGCCTACCTAGCACTGCCGCATCTCGGCGGGGGGTTCTCTTCCCATCCGGTTTCCTGCTCCATAAAGACCACACTGCACACTTCTCTCCACCCCAGAGAGACAGCAGAATCACTGAATAGATCAATTCTAGCCCCCGGCTCGCCCTCGTACGTTTCCTCCGCCCTCGGGGCTGTGACAGGGGGCCTGTTGTCCCCACCGAGAAGGCAGTCGGCCTCTCTGGCAACTCCGTTTCCGCCCCTCCGGGCCTCACTGTCTGTCCCTTGGACACAAAGACTTTTTGTCTCTGAAAATTTGATAGGAAGACATCCAGGCTGGTGTGGTGATGTGTTAACAGACAGCTGGGAACGTAAATTTAACTTGTGGACATGCCCTTTTCTATCGGACTCTTAAAATGTAACATTATGTCATGAGGATTTCACATGGCCATTACACAGTGTTTGCAACCGTCCTTTCACGTGGCCACTTATACTCCCAAGAGACGGTGAGCATCTTCACTGAGTAATTCCTCCATACCCAGCCTTGTGCTTAGATGTTGGAGCCAAAAGCCACAACAGGTGCCCTCCTGTCCTCATGGTGCTGCCACGGTTCCTAGACCACTTCCCAGTCATGGAGCTTTCATTCTTTCCAATGTGCCATTATTATAAAGAACCCCGGATGCAACATCTTCTTAGGACAGTCCTTTAAAACAATTTTTACTAAAATACAGAAGGGGAAATGACCAGCCCACAGGCATGGATTCCAGACTTCCAGTTTCAGGATCAGACTAATGAGTTGGGTTGGCTGGAGCGGCCTTAGGGGATGTGCTCTGAGCTTACACTGCAATCACGGGTTGTATTGAAGGCCTGTCACAGAGGATTCCCTTCAAGTGAGTTAATCCGTAACAAAGTGTCCACAAGTCAGGGAAAGTAACTCACCTACGGTCACCCAGGTAGCTACAGGGAGGAGCTGAGATGATGTCAAAGTCTGTGCGTCGGGCTTCCCTGGTGGCGCAGTGGTTGGGAGTCCGCCTGCCGATGCAGGGGACGCGGGTTCGTGCCCCGGTCCGGGAGGATCCCACGTGCCGCGGAGCGGCTGGGCCCGTGAGCCATGACCGGGGAGCCTGCGCGTCCGGAGCCTGTGCTCCGCAATGGGAAAGGCCACAACAGTGAGAGCAAAAAAAAAAAAAAAAAAAAAAAAAAAATGTCTGTGCGTCACCCACTGGCAACGCTGGCCCTGGTCATGGCCCCGGAAAGGATTGCGATAATAGCAATAGAAATAACAACAACGACGGTAGTAGCGAGATCCTAATAATAATAGTTTCTGCTGCTACTGTGTGGGCTAAGGACTATGCTAAGTGCTTTACATGGGTTATGCTTTCACCAACTTATTTACTGAAATACAGGGACATACAGAGAACTACACAGTTCATATGCCTACAGGTGGGTGAAATTTCTCAAAGTGGATACACCTGCGCTTCAGCCACGCAGACTCAAAAAACAGACCCCCCTATCCCCAGAAGCCCCCTCAGACCCCTCCCAGTCACCACCCACTTCCTAAGAGGTAGCCACTCGCTTGACCTCTAACTCTGTGGATTAGTTTTGTCTGTTTCTGAACTTTATAAAAACGGAATCCCCCCACATTTATGTAAAATATTATTTAGTCATTTGAGGAAATAGTAGTGGCCGACCTCACGTCACTTACTACCTGTCATGTTCTATTCTAAATTCTTCATTCGTATTATCTAACCCTCTCAACAATGTCAGGGAACGGGTGCTGTCACCACGGTCATCCTCATTTTGCAAAGGAGGAGCCCAGGCAGAGGGTTCCAGGCCCAGAGCTCACTGGTGGCAGAGCCAGGATTTGAACCCAGGCTGTCTGGCACCGGAGGCCACACTCTGAACCCCACCCTAATGAGGCGCCCTTACCAGCTCCATTTTGCAGAGGAGGAGACTGAGGCTCCGAGAGGTTAAACCACTTAACCAAGTGCCACACGTCTGGGTGGTGCAGCCACTGTCCAGCTCCAGGGCCTGACTCCAGCCTGTCCACCTCCGCCGCAGTCCGCTCTGTGACACTCACCCTCCCTCGTCCTTCCCCGCAGAGGTCTTCGCAACAGCCGGGCCACGGCCGGGGACATCGCCCACTACTACAGGGACTATGTGATCAAGAAGGGCCTGAGCCACAATTTCGTGTCTGGCGCTGTGGTCACGGCCGTGGAGTGGGGGACGCCTGAGCCCAGCGGCCCCGGCGCCCGGGACCCCAGCCCCCTATTCCAGGTGAACGGCTTCGTGACCACCGCGGACCAGAGCCAGCAGCCCTTCTCCCTATGCGCCCGCAACGTGGTCTTGGCCACTGGCACGTCTGACAGCCCAGCCCGGCTGGGCATCCCCGGGGAGGCCCTGCCCTTCGTTCATCGTGATCTGTTGGCCCTGGAGGCAGCCAGGCGGGCAGGCACCGTGTCCCCGTCCTCGGACCCCGTCCTCATCGTCGGGGCGGGACTGTCGGCGGCCGACGCGGTCCTCTACGCCCGCCACTACAACATCCCTGTGATCCACGCCTTCCGCCGGTCCATGGACGACCCCGGCCTGGTGTTCAACCAGCTGCCCAAGATGCTGTACCCGGAGTACCACAAGGTGCACCAGATGATGCGGGAGCAGTCCATCCTGTCGCCCAGCCCCTACGAGGGCTACCGAAGCCTCCCCGAGCACCAGCTGCTGCTCCTCAGGGAGGACCGCCAGGCTGTGTTCCGGGACCCCCAGGGCCTCCAGAAGGTCTTCGGCATCGCCCTGGTGCTGGCCCTCATTGGCTCCCACCCTGATCTGTCCTTCCTCCCGGGCGCAGGCGCTGACCTCGCCACAGACCCCAACCAGCCACTGAGCGCCAAGAGGAACCCCATTGATGTGGACCCCTTCACTTACCAGAGCGTCCACCGGGAGGGCCTGTACGCCGTGGGGCCACTGGCCGGGGACAACTTTGTGAGGTTTGTGCAGGGCGGGGCCCTGGCCGTGGCCAGCTCCCTACTGAGGAAGGAGGCCAGGAAGCCGCCCTAGCACCTGGCCTGGCATCCTTGCACCCAGGCCCTAAAGAGGAGGGGAGAGCCCCACGGCCCTGCTGGACGCAGAGCCCGTCCCAAGATGCCCCAGTGATGGGAGGGGGCCTCTCCTGGCAGGAGACAGGAGCGGCCACGAGCCCACGCAACGGCCCTCTCAGATGAAGAGTGAGAAACCCAGGCTGCCAGGACTCAGACCAGGGTGGAAACTGACCACAGGACAGGGGAGGCCCAGAGCTGTAATTGGGGGTGAAAGCTGCCGGTGTGAGCTGGGATCACCGGGGCCGGCTGAGCACCGAGCCAGGAGGACCCCGGGCCCTGCTCTTTCCAGAATCGGGTCCCAAATAAAACCAGCGCCTGCCTGCACTCCTGTGTCTGAGGACTCTGTGCTTGGGGAGGGGGCCAGGTGCCCAGGACCTGCTCTGGGAGCTGGGGAGTGGGGGCAGGGGGAGAAGCAAAGGGCCTGGTGGGAGAAGGTCCTTGGGCTGGGGGGCACCAATGGATGGTGCCCCAAGAGGAAGGGCAGCTGAGTGGGAGCAGAGGAGACAGCAGCTGTGTTTGAGGAATGGGTGGTGGGGAGGCTTTCCTGCTCTGCCCACCCCTCCAGTCTAGTCCCACCCTCCCCCACTCTCCCTCCAGCCACACCGTCTCCTCTCAGTCGGTCCTTCATGTTCCCCACACCTGCATCTGCCACAGGGCCTTTGCACAGGATAGTCTCTAGCAGAGGGCACTTTCCCCTCCTCTCTCTAACTCCTCTTCCTTCCACTCTCAGCGCATAAGGATCGTTTCCTGTAGGAAGCCTCTTCTGACACGTACACCTCCGTGGCCTTAAGGCAAATTCCCCTCTCACGGCCCAAGGTGCCACCTCTCCATAACAGTTCAGTTTTAACTGTTCATTTATCCGTGGAATCATTCCAGTATCTGGCTCCGCCCACTTGGATGTAAGCTCAGGGAGGCCAAGGAACTCGTCTGTTTTCCCTGTCCTTGGAACCCAGTGCCAGCACCAGGCCTAGCACCTAGCAGGTGCTCGTTTAATTCTTTGGGTCGGTGGGTGGATGGATGCGGGGAGTGAGGGGAAGAGGGTGTTCCGGAGTGAAGACTGGTTCTGGGCGTTGTTTAACGGGCGGGTGAGGGCTCACCGGGCGTGCACCGGGAGGAAGGGAAGAGTGGGTACCAGCGGAGTGGTGGGGGAGACCCCCCCGTGCGTGGGCGCTGATACCCGGAGCCGGAGCCGGCAGAGGGCGCTCCGGGCTCGCCGGACACCGCGCTCCGGCCCCTGCGGCGGTGTCAAGGCGGGGCGGGGCACCTTCCGAAGGGGGGGCAGCCCCCAGGGACGCACCCCCGCAGCCAGACCCCCCAGGACCCCGCGCCTGTTGGGTAGCGTCCAGCCGCCGCGCCCGGCCGCGGGGGATGGGGACTGTGGCCACGGGGCACGTGGCTCGGGGTCCGGGCGGTGCGGCCCCCTCCCCCACTCCCGTCCCCGAGCGCCGGCCAGTCCCCGCGCGGCCGCGGCCGCGGGGGCAGAGGGAGGGAGGGCAGGAGGGCGGGGCGCACGGGCGGCGCCGGGGAGGGGGTCGCGCGGGGGCGGTCCGCGGGCCGGGCGGGGGTCGGCGGGCTTCCGGGCGGTGGCGGCGGCGGGCGCGGCGCGATGTGCGAGCGGGCGGCGCGCCTGTGCAGGGCCGGCGCGCACAGGCTGCTCCGGGAGCCGCCGCCGCAGGGCCGGGCGCTGGGCGGGCTGCTGCGCTGGGTGGGCGCCAGGATGGGCGAGCCCCGGGCGCCGCTGGCCCCCGCAGTCCCCGCCGCGGGCCCCGGCCCCAGCCCGGGCCCCGCCTCGCCGCGCGGGGGCACCGCGGTCATCCTGGACGTGAGTACGCGCCGGCCGGGCCCCCGAGCCCCCTCCTCCCACGGGGGCGACCCCGAGGCCGCCCTCCTCCGTCCCCGCCGGGACCTGCGAGGCCCCCTTCTCCCTGGGTAGGGACCCCCCTGCCGCTCCCCCTCGGCGGCCCGGAGCAGGACCCGCACCGGCCCCTCCGCGTCCCAGAGCGCGGCCCCCTGCCCCTCTACCTCCCGGCGGGTCTCCATGCGAATCCTGTCTCGTCCCTGGACCGGGACGACCCCTTCCTCCCCGTCCCCTCCCTCCACTTCTGGGAATCTACACGTTCTCAGAGCCGGGAGCCTGGAGCCCCTCGACCCGGCCACCGCCCCCCTACTTTTGTTCTGGCCAAACCCTCATCTTTTTCCCAGCCCGGCACTTCATCCTTTACCCCCATTCTTTCCCGGGTCGGGAGCCTCTGACCGCTTCCGGCCCCCTCCTCCTCTCCATCCCGATTCCTGCCCCAGTCGTTACTTTTCTAAGACCACCTCCCCCCAACACACACACACACAGACACACAGACACAGGCGCACGCACACACAGGCACACACGCACAACCCCTAGGCCCGGGGCCACCTTTCTTGTCCTGGCTGTAGACCCTAAGCCCTTGTATTCTCTACCCTAAATACCCTTCCCCCAGGCACCACCTCTTTAAAAGTGAGGCCCCC